CGTTTTTGATACGACTTTATTGTCTGATACATAAATGATGGTGGCGAAATGAACTATGGGATATACAAAAGTACGGACTTATGGCAACTGAAGCCACACTGTGTTCAGTTCAAYGCTGATTTGCGAACAAAGAATGCGCTTCTTAGACTATTCATGAAGTATACAGTAAAAACCCGATGTTTTGGCGGTTCAGGCTTATTTGTTTCKTATATAAAAGGTTATAATCTACAAAATCAGCCTGTAAGTGTTCTTAAGTGTTCTCAGTAAAAAAGTGTTTTTAAATAAGGAACATACTTGGCTACCAATAGATGAAATCAATATATATATGCACACAATTTTAAGTTATCAATACAATGATGTAACTATTTTGATTTAAAGAAATTGTTAAAGCAATGTGTGCAATAAAAAATTGGTTTTGATCTTTGATATGTTTCCATATAAGAACAAGTTTCATTTTTCAGCCTGAATGTGTTCTTATATAAATGGTACTTTATTTCCTAAAATCAGGCCTGGGTGTTCTTAATCCACTCGTTCTTATACGCGGATTTTTACTGTATTTCAGTATATCATATAGTATATCTTATTTATATATTTTACAAAGCGTCCTTGTCCACGGATATCGTCAATTTTGCGAAGCATTCGCCATCTTACCATGATGCATTTCGCCAAACAAACCGGAATGACGTCATGAGTTGAAAGTTCCATCGACTAAACAGCACTGCATCAGTTACTGTACCACTGTAGATCACTGTATTCATACTCTCGGCCATGTTTCTTAAGGGATTGTTTCATCGGGTTTGGAGGGTTACCTCACGAAAAAGGGAGGATGAGAATTTTTTTTTTTTTAGAATCTTCAAATAGCTCGGAGATTGAGTGGAAAATAATAGCCATAAAATTCCAGCTAGATATTTTGAAGAAATCATCTCAGTTCAAGTCGYTATATTGATCGTTCTAATAGTCTTAAAGGGCCATGGTCAACCAGCATCACTTACGACATTTTGCCGATGTTTGAAAATGAAAATACATTATAACATAAGCAAAACATCTTTCTCTTTATCTGCTCTTTATGCTCTAAGAATGAAGATAATTTAAGATTCGATCATGAAACAGATTGTGAACTGGTATTTATAGCCAACCCATGTTTCATATATGGAAAGTCTAAAGCATGACCGCATGGAATGACGGTTAACCGTGGCCCTTTAATGCTAAGWTTCTCTCTGCTTAACGCAGTTCTTTGCAATGAAGAAGGGCGTCGATGAGGAAAAGGATCGCACAGATAAACCCAGAASCCTGCGGAGACAGGAAAAGATCATGTCAAAAATTTCTTTCTAACGTAATTTAATTTTGAAGCACGGAATCACTAGAGGAAGTTATTTTTAGTACCCTTTTGGGACAGAGTGTGCTCTTGCTGCCTGAGCATCCCATAATTTCTTCATAATTCAAGATGGCGGTAATCTCCTCTTTCACCCATCCAACCTCGCTCTCAAAACGAAGGGATAAGTGCCTGGGAACGAAGTTGTTCTTTTATTTTACATGTGGCGAGAAAAAAATGTCGGGGCATCCCATAATTTTTTCATGATTCAAGATGGCGGCCGTCTCCTGTTTCATCTATCAACCTCGTTCCCAAACGAAGGGATAAATACCCGGGAAAGAGGTTACTCTTTTGTTTTACATGTGATGAAGAAAAGAGCCTGGGTGTAAGTTCAACCTACCAAAGCAGTGATGCGAAGATTGGTCATAAGTTCCCAGGTATCTGATAGCTTGTACAAGCCGCTCTCGTGCTCGTCCTTAGCCCTCTCCACGAGTAAACCACACGCCACGATATAAACAACTGACGCCGTGAGGGAGATGATCATCACCTAAAAAAATGAACATTCTGAGCTTATACCAACTTCACGGGTTTCCTGTGCTTGTTTTAATTACAGCTTCATGGGCTCCCGTGGAGGAGAGTATAATAACTTAGCACTGTCAATCTTGTACCCAGAGCCCTATTGGCCAACGCCGAAGACGTATGTTTGTCGATGCATTAACTTCCGCTGGAAGGCAAAAGTGTGGGCTCTGGGAACGAGATTGCGAAAACGTATGTTTGTCGAAGGCGCACCCGAACATCTCGGGCATGCATCTTCACAGCAACGACCTGTGCAGAATCATACAAATCTCACGTCCAAGCTTTCGCGGCGAAATTTTAACGCACAATGCTCGCTGATGTGGCTTACCAAGAAACTCCAGCATTTTCTCGATCCCACGGAATTGTTGATGTCAAACAAGAAAAGCAAGTAAATCAGCAGCGAAGAGCCGGCGCCCGCGATATGGGCGAACAGGAAGAACGTGTAACGACGTTTGTATTCGTCTCCTTTTGATATGTCCCAAGTYTTGTCATCGGCTACGATCATACAGATGAACGCCACACACGACACAATCTGGAAAGGAATCAAAGGTCACTTTACAATAATACTCGGCTTCTTGTTCTCGGCTCTTTATTCGATAGCATGCATTCTATTCTTCGTTTTCACATACGTCACAGCGGCCATCGTGCAGGGTCTTAATGGGGGGGGGGTCTCAATGTCGCGGGTAGTCAGTTAAAAGTTTCAAGCATTTGTCGCTAGTCAGTTAAAATTCTAGGCATTTGTCGGTAGTCGGTTATTTAAAAAAAGTTGATAAACATTAAGKTTAAATGCATCTAAAACGGTGCTTTATACCAACAGAATTATTTCTAAAATGCCAACAATTGAATCCTCGAGTCWTGATTGGTCAATTGGATGCCCCTCAAAGTTTTAGAGTGGCTCATCACAACTTCAAGAAGCCAATCCGAAGCAAAATTTATTTTTTTTTCCGCGGAAAATCTCGAAAGTAGTTGCTTGAAAAATTAAAAAAAGCTTGTATTCACGGAGCTAACATCTTTGAATATTGGAAAATGTCGCCAGTCAGTAAATCTGTTAATGTCGGTAGTCAGCAAATGTGGTTCAAATTTGTCGCTAGTCAGTAGTTATTTTGTCCATTTGTCGCTATTCGGTTAACCCCATTCAGACCCTGATCGTGGAGGAACTTTAACAAAGGTTTCCATTAGTATCTATTGTTCATTCCTCCAACATGGCCGCCGGTCTTTTATCTTTTGAATCTCATGTGAATGGGTGAAAACGATTAATACCTACAATCAATGTCATAACGTTGTTCAGCCGTATAAAGACGACAACAAAGTCATTTACAAGTATTATATTCATATTTGTTTTTGCAAAAAATTTTTTATTCAACCTCAAGTTCCAAAACTTTATAACAATGTCAATATCATTAAACTTGGAAGCATAATCTGAAGTTTTAAATTAAAGTCCTTCGCGAGAATCGACRAACACTTCAACGACGCCATTTTGTGCACAAAGCATCATGGGAGTTGTAGTAGTCGCACAATTTTTTGTCTGCTAAAACCATTCTCGCACACATCCAGTTCCTTCTCAGTTTCCCAACTACAACTGAATATCGAGGGCTCTGGTTACAGTAAAATGAGTCTTTGATTTGATCGGTTCAAAAATTCCCATGTAGCATATCGTGCGACCAAGATTCTCGGGCTTCTGGTATTGTCTCCAACCAGAGTCTTTAACTTACTGTTGGGAAACTTAGAAGGATCTGGGTACGAGAATGCGCTAAAACAGTCCAGAGTTAGTAACTAACTCTGAACAGTCTTGCTAGGCCGTTTTTGATCTTTCTTGGCAAAAAAGGAGTAGCTGTGCCGTTTGTACAGTTGATACGAGCAAAAGGCTTTAGGTTTTAGTAAGGCGTTATAAAAAGCTCGAGGATTATAACTCTTATCACAGTGTTTTGTTGCACATAAAAGAGAGCAGGGAACGACCGCAGTAGTCTGTGAACCACCTTCCAAGGGGGGGAGGCAATTCACAGGAACGGAAGGGGTAAAAAGGGACACAAAGATGACTCAAATATATTGAAATATTAACAGCAGTACGGCTACTAATAAAAATTGTTATTCAATGATTATAACCAATATCAAAATGATGATAAGTTAATGCACTTTTACTCATAAGCGTAGACAAAGAAAATGATAATTTTCAGACGTCTACTTTCTGAGTGGAGATTGGTCGCGTCAGAACACATAAATACATAAAAAAATGCAATACAAAACCACCATGAATAATTGATAGCCTCACAATTACACCCTTTTCACAAGCTTCTTCTAGAAGACTTGATCACGCCTTGATTCTAGAACAAACTATCTCCGAGATCAAGATTTTCGATTATAAATAAAACGTTTAGATTTCAATGAAACAGCAAAAGTATTAGTCACACCTCGTTCGAATGAATTGAAACTGTTCTTTTGTTTTCGTATGGTAATAAGCTGGCGGAGAAAAGAGTGTTGGTCAGTGTTATTACAGCAGTTCGCTGCCAAGTCCCCTGCCAATTTCATGTGATGTATATTGTAAATATAATATGAAATATAACTTTTTTTAAATTTATCTAGTAGGATACCTAGTAATTCAAGGATTAGACAGAGATATAATTTATTTATAAATGAGAAATTCGTCCATAAAATGTGAAGATATATTATATAAAAGCAAGAGAAAATGAGGATAAAAGCGATTTATTTGATATATGAAATTGTGCTTGATTTTGTCAGCTGAATTAAAGCCATTTTATATATATATTATATAGGATTAGATGCGATATAAAAAGTATATATAAAACAATTAAATTCAAATCGAACGGACTATGGTTTAATACAAGGTTGTGTGAATGTCTCGTGACATTTCGCGTGACAAACCAACACCTATCTGTTTCATTATTTTATTGCCAACGTGCTTCTTCTGAATAAAAGGCTAAAATAACCAGAAAAACAACTTTTGAATGTTTTCCCAATGTTTCCTCCTCCCTTGTTTCCTAATCCTTTCAAAAACGGACACAACGAACCAACATATCTTGCAATGTTTACAAAAGGATTCTAGAATAGACAATCAGATAATCACACTGTGTTATTTTGCTACTAGAATACTAACCACTAGGAATAGCTTCAGCAGTCCTCTCCCCCAAGCATATGCCTTGTTGATGGCCATTTTCAGTACGAAATCAGCAAGAATAAAGCGAAATTTTGCGCACAGATTGTAGAACACCTTTACTACACTTGAATCGACGAAGGTCACTTATCAATTAATTTTTTACACACCCCTGTTTTGATAGGCGCGCGCGAGAAACTGGTACTAGCGAGATTTGAATTTAGATAGTAATCTTCTACCTCTTGTTCGAGGCCTTGCTCCCAGAAAGGTTCAGAAATAATATCAAAGTYTGTTTGACCTGGTCGTTGCACTTTGTACTCGTTTCGAAATTCTAAATGTCAGCCAGAAAACCAATCAGAGATTGGACTCGATATATCGACAAATCAAAGCATTTTCTCGTCGACCCAAAACTCACTTTTATGTTGAACTTCACGCCAAAAGTGCTGAACATGCCGTGACATGCGTTCGACCTCAACCCGTGATATGCAACTACCGGAACAAGGTCTAACAGACTTCGTACCAGGGGCATGATCGAGACACAGGACTAAACCATGGGCTCCAAGGATACAATAGCCGGCGTAGCGGGGAATGGGTTAGAAGAGGAAAAACGTAGGTTAGAAATTATTGTAATTTTTTATCAAATGGACATTACAGTATAATTTTGGAAATCACCTAGCTATAGTATATTTCCTCAAAGCGAAAAAATCAAGCGTTTACTCGCCGTAAACACCGACGGTTAATTGAAAATAGAGAACCGGATGAACGCAGGCTAGAAAAAATGTGCCATGTAGGCCAGATTTTACTACAACTTTTTGCGTCGTGATATTAGTGAATCGTTTACTTACAATCATAAGGAAGGAGTTAATTATTACTAAATACATTCGTCGTTTAACAAATCTTCTAACCAGCTTCGCCTTTGTGCCTTAATTTCATCTTCTCGCAATGACCTGTTAATATTGAATTCTTATATGACAATGTAATTGTATCGTGTAGTATATGTTTTTTAACAGAGTTTAAGATGGCTGTTGCAGAACTTATCGAAAGCTGTCTGTCAAATCAACGGACTTCCTTAAAGTGGATGAGAGCGTCTATCAGAAACAAAACTCCAGATAGAAACCCAAAAACCTAAAAAAAGATAGAAAAAAAGCCTCCATGAGTCACTAAATTCGTCATTAAAAGCAGTTTATTATAAAGGTCCACGTGGATCCAAGAACCTTTGCGCGATTTGCCGGCCCACATACTAAAATTCGCCATATTTGATTTTAAACCAATCAAAAAGTATTCCTTAACCAAATTTTATCAAAACAAAAAAAAAATGATCGCAAAGGTTTTTGGATCCTCTCGGGTCTTTAACAATAGGTAAGATTACAGTGCATATTGGAGACAGAATCAGGCACCTCGTCTTCAGTTTTGTTTATTGGTCGGTACTTTTGTGCAATTTCTAAAGACCCGTTTAAACTTTTTTTGCAGCACGACGATCGCCACTTTGTTCTCGCATACCTCAAATCGTACGTGTAAACAGCCCTGCGATTGTTGCGGCGATCGAAAATCGCCGCTAGTTGCAGCTAAATATGAACCATGTTCGAAACTCAGGCGATTGTCGCGCGACAATCGTAACGGTCGTTAATAAAAGCTTTGTGAACATAATGAAAGACCAGGATTAATGTTTGCTGTTTTAGGGAGTTGTCTGATACACCACTCCTGTTAGAGATGGAGTCGACAGCAAAGACAGCAAGCAGTTTACAGTACTTGGTCATAGAAACGAGATTTCATTGACTGAGAGATATTCACTTACAATGGCGGCGATCAGTTTCTCAGTGTTTTTGTTGGCATACTCGCACAGAAGTCCAGATGCAACGATGCAGAGAATACCAAGAATAAGAGATGCTGCCAGGTTCTAGAAAGACATAATTTTAAACAATCAGTGACGGACTAACGAGCTCAAGAACTATCGAAATAATGCATGGGCGTGCAAAAGGTGTGGTTGCAGAAGTTCCAAAACTCTTACCTACCCTCCTCCATCCTTGGCAAATGAAGTCTTAAATTTCAAATCATGGATAGACTAACAGCTTGTTAGTCTATCTGTCAGTAACGTTTCGGACGTTAATCCTTCGCTCTTTACTCCAACGAAGGATTAAGTTCCGAAACGTCAGTAAGTTGTTTCACCTACTTTTTACGGTGTTAAATTTATCTTTTTACACAATTGTTTATTTAGAAACACCGACGCAGGTCACACTAGTTTACCTCTAGTTTCCACCTTCTTCGAAGTCTTGAGCCCCCTACCCCTCCCTTCCTCAATGGAACCCCTTCACACGCCCCTGTAATGCATTAAACGGGATAACAAGCTGATTGAATAAATAAACATCTGAAATGGTCAACTGAATGTCTTTTTGAGGCAGGAGATAATAGAACGAAATGGAAAGCCGACAAATTGTAAAGGGAGCTTACCAAGTACAGCCAGCATCTGGCCGATCCAAGGGTGTTTTCAAGGCTGATAAGGTACACCAGGAAGATAATGATGGCGATCACAAAGCCAGCAATGTGAATCGAGATGAAGAAGTCGACTCTGTCATTAGCACTACGATGTCCTCCCAACATATCCACAACGATGGCAAACGCAATGCATGTTGTGATCTAGAAGACAATGTCATTGTGGAGTAAAATTCTTCCGGTTCTTTCTTGAACATATGTTTCATTGCGGTTAGAGTCGTATAATTCATATTTATTTACTTCACTATCTCCTTTCCCCTCTTCTTTCCTTTTCTTTTTGTTCGTAAAAAAGGTCTCGAAGGTAACACAAGTGTTTTATTAATTGGTAACCATGCCCCACACTTTACAATAAACTTGCACTTGTATAATTGTAAAGCATTAAGGACCAGTGGCACGCCTAGTGGGCATACCCTCCCTTGGTATTCCCCAGACGATGTCAAACTTACAATCACAAAGATCTTGAGAAGTCCTTTCTGACTTTTGGCATAACTCTCGTTGAGACCTAAACTTCCCAT